CGGCCGGCAGGCGCAGACGGGCGCGGCGCGCGCTCTTCCCGCAGCTCCTCCTCTCGCCGGTACTGCGTTACTCAGACCTCGCTTCTCCACTGCTCCTTTGCCTTCTTGTTTGTCCCTTTCTCCAGCCGGTTACCTAAAGAACAGCGTATCCAGGCAAACGCACAGGCAAGGCCTCGGCCTGCGTATAGTGACCAAAACAGGGGCACGAGTTCACTCTGGCCCCTTTTGCTGCAACGAGGGCTTAATCCTGGCCCAGGTTCCCACCGCTCCACTGTGTTACACATCTCCAATCGCTTCCCAATACCCCCATCTGAGAAAAACTCCTACCAGGGTGCGGCTGGAGGTGCGTGGTGCCAGCAGACTCCGCCTGTAAATCTGTTTCTCCCTTTCCCTCTTGCCCACTGGAAAGCGGTAAGAGGAAGGAGAGGTTGCCTTTACTGCATGCTTGCTGGCTCCCTGCAGCAAGGAGGGGACGCGACAGGGCACAATTAGCTCTGTTGGTCCTTCTAGGGAGCACGTACAGAAGCAGCAGCATCTTTGAAATGAAGGAGCTGACAGCATTTTGCTGTCCTAGCAACTTTCAGGTCTGGCAATTCTAAAGCAGCACTCTGAAACACTGGAAAGGAAAACAGAGAGTTACCTTGAAGGTTTTCATACTTCATCTCCAGCACTGCTGCTAAGAAACCTTTGGGTGTGGGAAATTCAGTGGCACTGGCCTACTTGCTGCCAGCAATAAAGCAGCAGGGTGGTCCTTCCTTAGGAAATAGTGATCAAAGCCACCGAGCTGCAGGACAGTTGTTTGCATCTGAACCCTTTCCTAAGTTACAACGGTTTCTACTACTCCCCTTTGCCCTCCACAGTCGCTAATGGCCTTGGAACTTCCTTTTGTGATCCTTCTCACTGTAAACCACACTGCAATGCAGTCCCTAGTGTCCCTGTTATGAGAAAGAAATACTTGTTAATGGGTTTGTAACTTAAGAACCTCAGCTGAAATAAGAAACTATTTTTGACAGTGGAGTATTTCATTCACAAGCATTTTCACGGGGAGAAGAAAAAAATAATTAAAACCTTCCTACTCTGGTCAAAGTTAAAATGTACACTTACATACATGTAATAACAATTTCCTTTGATATATCTGTGTATTTTAGAAGATGACCTACAAAAATATATTTACAAAGAATGGTTGGGCCAGAAAAAGGATTCTGCGGAAACTGTTACAAAGCAAATTCCCTTCTCTAAAGAAGAAATGATTATAGTTTGAACTGATTACAAACTTACTTAGTAGCTGCTTAATCAATCCAAATGTTTGTACAGTAAGCAGTAACTGACCTAAAATTATTCCAAAACCCCCAGACTTCCAAACATACAACAAGGTATCAAGCACTAACAACCTTTTCACTGCCACGATATTTTGGAATCTGCTTGTAAGAAAGGAAGCCTGTAGATACGCATACATAAAACACCTTACATTTTATACAGTATGGGACTTACTTCCTCCTATTTAACATTCTGAAAGCTTTTATATTTTTTAAATATTCACTGTCCTTTGGAGACTTTACAGCACATTTTAAATTAAATAGTCTTATTATGCCAGTGTGTGTACTGAAAACTAGGAAATCTGCAGTAACGCTAAGCTGTTCCACCGTGCTTTATCAAAGTATCTTAATTACTCGTTTCATCAGATGGAAACTTAGCCAAAGCAAACAAGATTTTAATTTATTGTCCGTTATTGAAATCACAGATTTTTCACAAGTGAAATTTTACTGTATTTCATGCACACTGAAAACTACAGTCAGTACGGTATTAAAAAGCAGGAAAGATGTAAGCCGCTGCAAAGTCTTTGTAACAGATTTAAAAATACCTATGCCACATCACTCTGTTTTGATTCAAGAGGCTAATTCTCGATTATAAAATTTTTCATAAAATTCCAAGTCTTTTATGTTTAAGGATGGCTTCACAGTCCTCAATGATTTTACAAAATGCTCGTGTTTTACGGCAGTTGCTTCAAGTCCATTCTCTTGCAATGCCAACAAAGCCGCCTTTAAAAGAAAAAGAAAAAAAGAAACAACTTGAAGTGCTCATCATGTTTTAAGTTGCAAAGAAGTTATTGTAAGTATTCTAAAATATTTTACATGACACCAAATTTTAGGTAAAGCATCTGAAAACAACATTGTATAATTTATGGTTATTTAACAACGGATAAACATCAAATAAGATTACTATAACTTTTTCATTCACTTTTTTGTCTGGATTACACAATATATCCTTGATCACTTATATTTTTGGATTGTCTTCCTAGTCTTCTCTCTTTTATATAACTTATCTCAAATACTTATGGATTTCTCTTCTCAATTTTTTTCTCTCTAGACTTGTCAGTACGTGCTAATTTCAGCTAAAAATGCTGCAGTTGCTTGCAGTACACAGAATACAATTAATACAGATGTGAGCTTGGATTAGAAAAGGCCATGTGAAACAAAGGGTAGTACAGTTCCTTAACTTCTAATAAATTATCACAGAAAGCCTTTACTCTTATTTGGCTTTTTTATTTAAAGAATTAACCCTTCTTCAGTTCTTCTGTTTCACTCATTCTCTTTATATTTTCACCACAAACTGTGAAAGAATCCATACTACAGATGGCTTGGTAACATCTATGAGTTAGGTCTCTTCTTCATTGAAAGGTTTCATTTACAGTTTATTTCACAGATTAACCATGAATATTTCTTACCTCCTTGCACAGATTTTCAATATCAGCTCCAGAGAAGAGGTCTGTTAGGACTGCCACATCTTGTAATGACACATCAGGAGCTAGTGGAATTTTTTCTGTGCAGATTTTCAAAATGCAAAGCCTTCCCTGTAAGTTGGTGCATATTTTATAAGAAAACAAACCAAACCAATAATTAAACCCTCTCCAAAGCAGCAAAAAATCTGAAATCAGAACTAATGAAAATCCAAAAGAGTACCGAAAACAAAACTACATGTTTTTGGTGGAAAAGAGAATAAAATGCTATTAATGGGGATAACCGGAAGAGCAAGTATTAGCTCATATACTAATGTCTGTTATTCACAGTTACTCATTACTTCATGAAAACACAGTATTTTAGATTGAAGAGTCCATATTTGGCCTGCTTTGGCTCAACTTTCTTTTTTGGAGAAGCTCAGGGCAAGTAGCTACACTACCCGTGGGAACAGGGCACAAGAATCATTTGAAGCAAGGACAGTCAGCTTGTTATGGTACTTCCTAAACTACAGCTTGATTTTGCAAATACAGAATTATTCCAGATTTTGTCTATTTTCTATACACAATAGTATAACTACATACACCAGTTAAAATGTTACTGGTGTTTGAATTACAAATATAATTATCCCTTTTTAAACGTCTTCATTGTCCCTTGAGTTTGGTGACTGATCTTCAGTGAATCATCCATCAACTATTATATATATTATAGGAACATGCCCCCTTTGCTCTTAGAAGTACGCTGGCAATTCATATCTCTCCATTTAAAGCCATGTATGGATTTGTAATACCTCACCTTCAGATCTGGAGGTGGAATATAGATCACCTTGTCTAGCCTTCCAGGACGCAATAAGGCATCATCCAACATATCTGGTCTATTTGTTGCAGCAACAACCATGAAATCTTTGTTCAAAGTTTCCTGATACTCTAGCTGAGTAAAAGATGATATAAACAAATCGGTGTAACATGGTTAAGATAGATATTTTTGGAACAACTGGACAGCATTTATCATTCTTCCTATAAAGGAAAGGGAACATAAATACCTTTCTTTCCTCATCGCTTTGCCCTTGACACTGACCCTCAAGCTGTAGTTTGCTTCCTCTTCTCTCTGTGACTTTCAGCCCAATACCATCCAACTCATTGAGAAGAACAGAAAGAACCCGCTCGGAGACACCATGGCCAGTTCTGCAGTGTGACCGAGATCCCAAGATAGAATCAATCTCATCTAAGAATATTATTGCTGGCGTATTTGCTCTTGCTTGGCGAAAAACCTTTTTTTTTTTTATTAATAAAGTAAAATGTTAATACATACATTCTATCAGGTAAGATGAAAACATCTACTTACATATACTCCATATTTTACTTACTTAACTTTAAAGATACATTCATAAAGATTCACGAGAGCCATTCTGGCTTACTATAGGCAAATTCTGCTGCTTATTTAAATTCTTAAGTGAACTGAAAACAAAAGGGTAGAAGACTTTCAAAGTTTAAAACTGGTATCACTTTAGGGCTGGATTCTCAGTTTATATAAATGTGAATCTGTAAGCCATTTCTATTTAATAATCAGATGGGAGCTTTAACTATCATCCTTTCAATAACAAAATTTAGGCCTAACTAATACTTTACAAAAATGAAGCAAAAATAAACTATAGACCTTACACAAATTAAAAACTGTACCTGAGACAAAATCTTCTCTGAATCTCCAACGTAAGGTGAGAAAAGGTCAGCACCACTTACAGAGAGAAAGGAACAGTGACAACTTGTGGCCACAGCCTTCACCAGCGTGGTTTTGGCACACCCTGATGGCCCATAGAGAAGAATAC